GTGCTAGGTGAGCGTTCTACTGCTGAGCCACAAACCCAGCCCCCTGTTGATGGATCTTTATTTATTTATATGGGGTGCTGAGACTTGAACCCAGTGCCTCACACACGATAGGCAAGCGCTCTACCACTGAGCCACAATCCCAGCCCTACTAATATACTTTTGTTTTTTTAATTATTTATTTATTTTGATATGAGGTCTTATTATGTTGCCCAGGCTCATATTTCTGGGCTTAAGCAATTCTCCTGCCTCAGCTTCCTAAAGAGTTGGGACTTCAGGGATGTACCACTGTGCTGGCTTACCAATGCACTTTTTAAAACATGCTCAATGTTACTAGCAAACAAAGAGATGCAATGGAAAACAATGACAAGATATTATTATTTGACCTCAAAATTAGCAAAGATCAGAATGTTGATAATACTGTGTTCATAAGAGTACCAGAAAAGAGATAAGAAGTCTATGCCTACTGTTGAGTGTAATTCTGTAAAAATTTTGAAGTAATTTAGTAATACTTAAGCCAAATCATTGTATTTGCACTTTGATCTAGTCAGTCTTTTTACATATAGGAATTTAGATGCAGAGAAATAACTCTCAGAAGACCACCAAAACCTCATGTTTAAAAGCTGTTAGGCGGGGCATGTAGCTCAGTGTAGAGTGCTTGCTGAGCTTGCTAACTTTTTTTTTCTTTTTGGGTACCATGGATTGAACTCAGGGACACTCAACCACTGAGCCACATTCCTAGCCCTATTTTGTATTCTATTTAGAGACAGGGTCTGAGTTACTTAGTGTCTTGCTTCTGCTAAGGCTGGCTTTGAACTCATGATCCTCCTGCCTCAGCCTCCCAAGCTGCTGGAATTACAGGCACGTATGCCTGACTCAATTGTTATCTTTTTCTTTTGTCAAAAATTAAGTTTATAGTAAATTTAAAATGTAAGGGGGAAAAACCCAAATTCTGATCTCAATTAGGTGTATGACTATAAGATTTCAAAAACAATCTATGTGAAAAAAATGTCTATCTTGTTTGTGCTGTTAAGTTCTGCAACCAGGAACTTACTAAAAAAGACATGCTGCACAAAGGASAAAGTTCAGATAACAGTTTTTTGCTTTTGTTTTTTTGTACTAGGGATTGAACCCAGAGATGCTTAACCACTGAGCCATGTCCCCAGCCCTTTTTTGTGTTTTATTTAGAGACAGGATCTCCCTGACTTTCTTAGGGCCTCACTAAGTTGCTGAGACTAGCTTTGAACTTGCGATCCTCCTGCCTCAGCCTCCCAAGCCGCTGGGATTACAGGCATGTGCTACCATGCCTGGCTTGGATAACAATCTTTTAATGGTGGGTGAGGAATTCTAGGATGAGCAATACAATAATTTCAGAAAATTATATAAATGTGTAATATGCTATACAACAAATCTAATGTCTATCAAATTAAGACTGGTTTAAATAAATGTTAAGCAGCCTGACAAAGGAATACTATAAGGTCATTAAAAACGATAAAAAGAAAAATGTTTTACACTGCGATCATAGTTTGTTATCTGAAATAAACAAGTTATAAAACATATTCATGTTTTGTTTATGCTAAGTTACACAGTAAATTTTGTTGTTGTTGTTTTTGTAGTGGGGATTGAATCCAGGGGCCCTTTACACTGAGCCACCTCCCCAGGCCTCTTTTCCCCATTTTTTATTTTAAGAGAATATCTTATTAAGTTGCTGAG